GAAAAAGCCTCCAAATGGAAGGGGCATCTTGGAGGAAAGAGTGGGAACCCTGGAGATGACTTGGGAAAAGACACTCCTCCAGCCACAGCTCCTCTTGACCTCTCTCTGCTTAGACCTTGGAGGGCTTTGCACTTGGTTTTGGAAAGGAAGCTGTTCGTGTTCTTTACAGCTGTCTGCACGCTGCCCTGGGAGGTGGCATCTCACAACGCCTGCCTCCAACACTGCCTTTGGTTGTGAAACAGTAAGCAGGTTCTCAAAGCATGCTCTGCGGGCCCGCCCGCAGCCAGAGCTCCCGGGGCCTGTAACTGCAGAATTCCAGCTCCTCTTCAGACTGGCCCGGACCTCTGGGTCTCAGGCCCACACGCCTTGTTGACATTTAAGCACAGGAACCAGTGCTGCACAACCTCAGAAAGCGGAGCTGCCCTCTGCCGTCCCTAAACCGAGAGGATTATGTCAGCCGAGGCCACATGCCTGAATTCCTTCCACTTGAGCGGCGAGGGCATGTGCGTGCCTTTATAAGGCTAACACCCAGCCAGAAGATACCCACAGGTGGACGTGCCCTCAGTGGGACCCAAAAGACCGGCACTGTTTCTAAATATAGCAACACCAAGCCCACTGATCGCTGTCTGTGCCTGGCCGCACAGCCATGCAGGGAGTGGAGGCCCCGGGAGGGCTCTGTGAGAACAGCGTTCGGCAAGCTCCCAAACAGGTCTTGTTCTCAGGGCCCTAATATGTAAGGCTGCCATGTGCCTGTCTGTGTAAACAGTGTGGTGAACAGCTGATGAATGCTTGTAGCAAGCACAGCTAAGCCGTAACTTTTGCAAATGGGAGCAAACATCTGGAATGGTTTCTGTGGCAGTGGGACGGCTGTTAGTATTACCGACAGATGCAAAGGAGAAGCCCCAGAACCTCAGTTGGTTCTGGTGAAGGTTGACCAGTGGTGCCAAGGCAGGGAAGTTGAGGGAAGTCCATTATCATCTGTCCTTTCCTGATTCCTCCATCTGCAACGGCACACTCTGCTTTACTTTTCCTCAAAGCACTCATCACCCTCGGCAGAAATGCACGTGTTCATCACCAACCTCCCTTGTGGAACATGAGCCCCGGCGGTGGGCTCCCAGGCTGTCCTGAGCATCCTAGGATCCCGGTGTCCAAAGCGGGGCTGGCACATGGGAAATGCTCAAAGAATGTTTGTTGGATGAATCGATGGTAGACCAGATAGCTCAGAGGAAGAGCTTTGTGCTCCTCACGCCCCCCTAAGTAGGACCTCCTCACAGGAGCAGGAAATCTCCAAGATAATGTGACTTCTGTCTGCCTTGCTCACCTACTGGGATACAACAGGCGATGCATATCTGCAGTGTGGATTGTATACTTTGACCCTCGTCCTTGGGGTGAACCCATCCATGTGGTTTCTAGTGTCCCCCATCACACTTTTCTCACTTCCCTCTCATACCTCTGACTCATCAAAAATCCTCCAGTTGTTCTAGGCCAGCTCTAGCTTATCAGCTGTCCAGGAAACATAATTCCTTCTGCCATGATACCACCCACTTGGATCTTTGCTGACTCCCAGCTCCCAGTGGCCACTTCCCTACTCCCCTAACTGTGGAGCTGATGCCCATTCAGTGGAGGTTTAGTGGGCACCTGCCCTGTGCCATGGAGTGGAGGAGGAGGGAAGGCGAAGGATGGCCCATACCAAGATGTAAAAGGCCCTAAGAGTTCTGGGTGCACTGGCCCTCATGTAGTTGGAAGTGATGGCATCTTTATTGGGGGTCAATATGGTTATTGGCTATCAGGAGAGGGTGACTTCTTTTGTCTTCAGGGATCCACATCAGGTTGCTTCTGATCAGATTGCTAAGCACAGCTACTCCCTGAGCATTTGCTGCTGGCGGTGGTGGGCCCCGAACATGAATTTAATTTCCTTTGGACCATATGCTTCATGTAGATGATAACGTTTCTTAAAATTTATGGAGGTGCTCTTGCTCCCTAATCTACTCTATTTCTAGAATGGTGAGGAAGGGGAGGGGGCGGTCAGATCTCTCCTTCAGATGGATGCAGCACCCCTTCTGCAATGTCCACACTCCCAACTAGGGCTTTTCTTTTATATCAGCAGGATTCTGAGCAGATGAAGATATGAGTCAAAAGCATGGTGCGACACCATGCTGGATGTGACACCTAGGCCTGGCTGGTGATCAGGGCCAATCGGGGCCTTTTGGCTACGCGCTAGGGCCTCCCTTTGTTCCGCGCCACCCCCTGGTGGTCACTGCATGTCATAGCGGGCGATTGAAATCGTCTCCCGGTCAATCTCCAGAGGGGCTAATTTGCATATTAGGCTTTTATATATATGGATGGCATGAGTGACTACAAGTTGGGACAATTTTAATACCCTCTTAGGAGTTCCCTCAGAGAAATGTACCTGAGGGGCCCATTTTTCACTCCTGGCCAGCTCCGTGGCTAAGAAGTGGCCCCTTCCTGGCTTGAGCATCCTCACTGCACCCCAGCAAGACACCGGGCTCCCAGGCCAGAGGCTGCAGGGACTCTGCCCTGGGGTCACTGCTGACAGCCTGCCCTCTCCTGCGGCCTGGAGGCTGGGTCTGGCGGCTGCCACCTGCGGGATAGAAGCAGCACATGGGGTGTTCTGGTTGGAGACACCACGTGGATGAGATACAAAGTCCGGCTCTGTGCCACCTGCGCAGGCGTCCTCGTCTCTAACTGGGACGACGAAGGCTGCCCTGCAGGATGGGACAATCTGGGGTCGAGCTGGAGCCTTGGGATACACAAGCGCGAGGTGCTCGCACCCCTCTCGGCTGAGATCGACCCCGTTTCCTGCAGGGCCGTTCTCGCGCAGGGTTTTCAGTGGGTGGAGGGGCAGAGGTGATGACGATACAAATGAGCCCCCACTGCCGCCCGTCATCCCAGCCGGGCAAGGGCCCGTCCAGCGTCTGGAGGCCTCGGGGCGGACTGGATGCGACACGATGAAACCGGGCGGTTGTCCCGACGGGGAGGTGGCGAGCGGGCTGCGGGCTGCCGAGCCCTCGCTCGCGGGCGCCTCCCGCGCTCCATGCTGGCGCCACCGCACTTCACAGCCTCTTTGCAGGACACCGTCCTACGTGTCCTAGGGAAGAGGAGCCGCTGGTTGGGCTGCTCTCGCGAGAAGACCCTCGCGGGGCGGAGCCGGCGGCCTGGAGCCGCGTTGGGAGGAGCTCCAAGGCGGAGAGCGGAAGAGCCTGTTTTCGGCGGCGGCCACGTGACCAAGCGTCCGCGGCCCCCATTGGCCAGGCGCTCCGGGACCACGCCCCGAGGCGGCGCTGCGAGCGGAGACTGTCCTCACACGCCCTTGAGTGGGCCGCCTGCGGCATCGTGGCGCCGGGGACCCAGGCGCGGAGCGCACCAGGGGACCCAGGCGCGGAGCGCACCACGGCCCGTGGTCCTCGGCGCCGTGCGGGGAAGGGACGTCCCAAGGATGCCCAGCGAGCATGCGCTCTCGCCGCCCTGGGGGCACCTTTCCAGGAAGATGCGCGCAGAGCCCCTCCTCCCCCGCCCGCCGGGTCCGAGCCCAGCCCCAACTTGGTTTTTACTCTGGTTCCCCTGGGGACGGAGATCGGGCCTCAGAACCACCCGCCTCCCACTCGACCCCTCCCAAAGCCGGGCTCCCAAGGCGGACCTGCAGTGAAACTCGACGGGGACGCACAGTTGCAGACATTTCTTTCCTGGCAGGAGGTGGCAGGCTGCTGCTGGCCTCATTCCCGGGTCTGAGAAGTCAGAGCTGTAGCTCCCGAGTGAGTTCACAGGGCAGCCTGCTCAGGATCCCACCTCCCCGCCTGAATAGATCCCTCCTCCCTCTCCCCCCTCTTCCAGCTCTTTGCAGCTCCCAGCACAATGTGAGCACCGACCGAGATCTGCAGGAACAGATCCCAGAATTCTTCCCCAGTCCAGTCTTTCCTCTTAGCCCCAGTGAGCACAGGAACATGCTGGGGCCAAAGCTATTTACTTGGCCTTCCCTTCGGGGCTCCAGCGCTGCTCTATGGGGGCCCTTGAGAGGGTCTTTTAGCCAAAGCAGACTTGGTAGATGTGGAGGAGGGGAAAGTATTTCAGGCAAGTGGAACAGTGGCTGCAAAGGCACTCAGCACAGAAGAACAAGGCGTATTCCTGGGCTCTGAAACCCGTGTGTGCTTGGCTCTGACATTCCCAGCCACGCTTGGACTCGCTGGTGGTGTCCTGTGCATCTAGAGCTCAGAATTTCCCAGGCTGCCCCGCCTGGCCTATCCTTCCGAGTGGGTCTCTCTGGTTTTAAGGACCCTACCGCCCTGAGTCCCCACAATCCAATATTCTTGCAAAAACCCAGGCTTCAAAGACCAGGCGGTCTTATGAAGCTCCTTCTCATCTATTGGTTTGCCAAACTCGAGCAATTTCCAACCAGAGGGAGACAACCAGCAAATTAGTTTTAATAACAATTTCAGGAGAAGAGCAGGAAGAATCATCTCTATTTTGTCCTATTTATGGAAGAGTTGCAAAGGGTTTCTTTTTGTGAAAAACACAAAACCTTCCTAGGTCCTCTGCAATTTATGCCTCTCCTCTCTGAGCCACTCGGACACCTCTTTGCCTTCTAATGTGAGTCCCTTCCCTGGGTCCCCCCTTTCTCCTCCTTCCTCCAAAGCACCTTGCTCACACTTGTGCAGCACCAGCACTTACGACCCACTTCCTGGTGGCTTCTCGAATCGCTTCCATTGGCACCTTCTGCTTTTTTTATTTCTCCCTTCATTTGACCTGCTCTCTGTTCGTTGGAAGGGCTTCTTTGGAGCATGTCAGTATCCTGTTCTGAATGTTATTTGGTGGTTCCTTTGTATATTGTTGGGAAGCTATTTAGATTCCTTCCTTTGGAAAACAACACCATGCCTTCCTGTTCCAAAGTATATTGACAAAGCATGCCTGAGCCAGGGCCGCTGTCCTGGATGTCAAACAGTGTTGTAGATTCACTCACTGACACGGATACAGGTGGTGGGCCACTGGCTTGTTCTCAGCAGCTTCATGCATCATTGAGTTAAATCCAACTTTGGAACATACTGGTGAGATATCGAGAGTGTGGGATGGTTTTGTGAGGAGACAAGAAATTACAAATTGCAAAACAAAATGGCACAAAAACTAGTACCGGGTCCCACTTCAGGTCCCCTCCCAGAATCCTCCTCTCCGCTCTCTGTCTGCCTCTTTCCTGAGCAGATCCTGATCTGTCCACCCCGTCCTCCCCAGCTTGGGTTCTCAGCAAATCCAAGCTCCTAGTGCTCCTTGCTTCTGAAAAGGCTCGGCGATCACACATCACAGACGTGTCTTTCCCTCGGTCAGTCACACATGTAGGATGTGAATGTCATGTGTACCCTGGGCTGAGAGTCTGAGCAGTTGACGGTCCTGTGATCCCAACTCTCTGCTGAGCCACATGCGTTCTCTCTTCCCAGGAGTCCCGAGCCTTTCTGGAAATGGAGCTTGTGCCCACAATTCACCACCCCTTAGCCACAGTCCGAAAGCCCAGGAAGCTCTAAGACGAGAAAGCAGCAAACTCGTTTGGCAGCAAACCCTTGGCCTGAACCGAGGCTCTGTCTGGTCTCTGTTGGCCTGTGTGCTTGGTCGCAGGCGCTGCTGTGGACTTCATCGGGCCTGCTATGCAGCGTCAGGTCTGTGCACCTTCTTCTCTTTGGGAAATTGGAACATTCTGCGTCGCAAAGCTTCCCGGGAGTTTGGATAAGGGGGTTTGGACCGTTCAACTTCTGTGTCTGTAGATGCGCTGAGCACAGAAACTGACCAGCACTGTGCCTGATTCCACACAGGTCCCCGTGAAGATCCCCCGAATGAATGAGTGGGGTTTGTAAATTCACACGACCGCTCAGACTTCCATGTGCCTGAATAACTTGCTCATCAGTTAAGACTGAGTTCCTAAATGTCCTTTGATCAGTTTAGCCAGGCCCTGTGAATTCTGTTGTTATTGTTTTGTTCTCAGATATTTTTGCTGGAGAATTATCCCATCTAAGACCTTTCTCATCTGGAGGAATGTCTTTTTGTTCTCTCTGTGGAAATTGCTCTCAAATCTTTTCTGACTGAGACGCAAACATGCTGACAACCCCCCATGATCTGATGGGGATCCTCAGTGGGTGTGGAGGCGGCCCCCGCCCTGCTGACTGCGGTTCCGTGTCAGAACCCGGGTGGGCGGGTGTTTGACGGGATCTGTGGTGAGCTGAGGATGGCATCCCTGATCTGCAAGAACAAATCGCAGCTGTTTCACACATTTGCAGGTATTTTAAGATGCAGACTTCACATTTACCATATCTTGGATTCCTCCAGTACTTATTGAGAGGGGAGCTCCATCATGTTTATGCTGAATGTGGGGTGTGTTCTAGGATCTCCCAGACCCCACGCCTTCCCACTTCTCAAGCTCCGGTCCTCAAACTCCACACCCCTGGGACCCCTGATGCAGATGACTGACTGGGTGACCTTGGGCTTCACCTCCAGGACCCATTCCTCCCCCTGGTTCTTGGCCAGGGTCTTTCTTCTGCTGAGCCACCCCCTTTGCCTACTGCTCACTGTGGGGTGGGGTGAGCCCCTAAGTCTCCGCCCGGGCTTCTTTCCTGGTGACGGTGCAGTGATGGAGGATGGGCATGAGGGGACACGAGGAAAAGCTGGAATTTGCTCCGGGCACAGATCGGACACCAATGCTAGTTGCATGTTTCCTCCAACCACAGTTAGCCAGAAACACACACACAGAATTTCTCCAGCAGCTCCCTGAGCTTGGCCCTTGCAGAACGGCTGCTGGGAGAATCCCATGTGTGTGTTCACTCGGCATCTGGCGAGCTGCGGTCCCACCTAGTGGTCAGCGGGAGGTAGCCCGTCTCAGAGGAAGGGGCAGGCACTGCCTGTTCTCTCTGGGCAGAAGCCTGGGAATCTTAACCGTTCATCCTTTCTCCTGATTCGCAGGGGCCCGGCAGTGTCAAGGCCAAGGTGTGAGATACGTGGGGGTGGGGGGTAGGGGGGGTGAGGGGAAGAGAGGAGCAGAGGGAGAGGGCGGGCAGGGGATGTAAGACTGGCGTGTGCGGGGGTGGGGTGGGGGGGTGTGTGAGACACTGGGGTGCGGGGGAGTGTGGCAATGCTTGTGCAGGGCAGTGCTGGGCTGAGAGGAGAAGACACCTTTCAGTGGTTCTCAACCTTCTGGCCCTTTAAATACAGTTCCTCATGTTGTGACCCAACCATAAAATTATTTTCGCTGCTACTTCATAACTGTCATGTTGCTACTGTTATGAATCGTCATGTAAATATCTGATATGCAGGATGGTCTTAGGCGACCCCTGTGAAAGGGTCGTTCGACCGCCAAAGGGGTCGCGACCCACAGGTTGAGAACCGCTGCATCCCACGCACCTGGAACCGTCTTCTTAACGTGCGGAGTAAGTCTCTCAGGTACACGGAGAAGGTCCCTCAAACAGCTCTGTGAGTCCTCACGGTTGTCACACTGGCTTCCTGCTTCTTTAAGGGCAAAACCACACAGACGCAGGCCGAGCTGCCCTACCCAACACCAATCCACCCTCCCTGCTTTCAGGTTCTCAGGGGCGGGCCGCGGTGCTGTCAGGTGCCAGGGTTTGGGGGTGGGGCAGCCTGGACTGGGTGGGGCGTGCACAGCTGGGCCCAGCGCTCTGAGAACTCCCCAGAAGCAGAGGGTTGCTTATTTCCTAAGCTTCCCAGTCCCTTTCAGCCTAATATGCATAAACTTCCAATTTAGAGGCTGGATTAGCTAACATGAGCGCGACTTTAGGGAGGAAATGGTGGCTTTGAAAATGCCCAAAATATTCGCCTCGGGTGATGGTGAGCAGGAAGTTGCTAATGAAATAATTGGAAGTGGCCGCTCCAAGTTTCCCCGGTCAATACCGCTGACATCCTTAATTTGGGGTGACAGCTGGACTCCACAGGCATCTTGACAGGCAGACCTACCGGAAACAATTATTTTACAGTTAGATGATTACCATGCAGGCATTCAAAGCTTCTAGAAATTTCTGTTAGCTAATAGGCTCTGGGTGCATGGAAATCGTGGTTCCCGACATCTGAGGGGTCTGGACATGTTTGGGGAGCACAGCCAGGTTGCTCTGTGCAGATATTTGTTCAGAATGTGGACTAGAATCTTGGCTCCTCTGCTTGTTAGCTGGGAGGCGTGGGACAGCTTACTAAAGCTTCATGAGCCTCAGTGTCCTGGACTCTAAAATGGGCATAATTAACCCTAGCTCAGCAGGTGCTGTGGACATGTTAATATGATGAGGCCCAGTGTTTTTGTTGCTGTTTTTGGTGGGAGCAGGGGTGCGTTATCTCCTGCTGGGCAGAAGCCTGGGAACTCTTACCAGTTCATTCTTGAACTATGAGGAGGAAGTCGAGGAGGGCCTCAGCGGAGGTTGCTCACCTGGAGAAGACTGCCTTCTTTGAACACACACACACACACACACACACACACAGAAGAAGCCAAAGCCATGTTAATTTTTTTATTGTTCCAGTCATAAAAAGGAGGAACACCTCAATATGTAAACAGTTTCCCTAACACAGCAAGTTCTTAGAGATACAGGTTTTATTCTAAAAAAAATTTGGCATTGTAATGATTTCTCAATACATAGTTTGTGCTTTTTGCATTTGGCATGCTTTCATCTCCATGTCCGTGCACAGACGTACTAAGAGTTGAGCAAAGGGAGTTACAAAAGGACCGAAAGGTGGGTCAGGAGCCAAACCTTACCGGAGCCCTGCCTGGCTTTCCTTTTCTAGAAGGGCGGTGGGAAGGGTGGCGGGAAGGGCGGCCGGAAGGGCGGCCGGAAGGGCGGCTGGAAGGGGGGCTGACTTCAGAGCCAACCTGAGTCACGGGGCGAGAGGGAGGCCAGAGCCTGGGCAGGTGTGCGCGCTCTTCCTCCTTCCTTTCGGCTCGTCTCTAAAGGAGCACTGCCCCTCGGCTGAAGCCTTGTTTTGCCATCGTGTTGGTTAATATCTGTAAGTCTCCCCTGTGTAACCCTTGTCTTATGGTTTTGCTGGGCGTGGTGTCTACTACTCAAGGCTGTAGAAATTCCACCGTTTTTCTCAGATTCGCTGAATCATTTCAACCCACTTGACAGTTTGGTCAAGGAGATTTGGCTTTCTTTCCACTGAAAGATTATTATTATTATTACTAGAGGCCTGTGCACAAAATTTGTGCACAGATAGGGTCCCTAGGCCTCGCCGGCGATCAGGGCTGATCTGTGGGGTGACTGGCAAGGCGATCGGGGGGTGGGAGGGTGGGGGTGGGGCAGCTGGCACCCGCCTTGGCTGGCCTGGGGCCTGTGGGCTGGGGGCAGCTCCTGCATTGAGCGTCTGCCCCCTGGTGGCCAGTGTGTATCATAGCGACCATTCGTTCTGCCAGTCATTCTACTGTTCGGTCGATTTGCATATTAGGCTTTTATTATATAGGTTTGTTTTTCCTGAAGACCCATGAGCCTTTAAGCACTTGGGCGGGCTTGTGAATGCATCTGCTGTGACTCTGCTGCCCAGCTGGTTCCTTAGCCCGGAGCCTGAGTCCCCTACAATCTCACACCAGTTTTCAAAATGCATATTTTATTGAATTCTCCAATTAGCCACCCACTCCACCCCACTCCACCCAGGCTGGCCTCAGCACCACCCAGACTCACTTCGTGCGTGTCTATCTTTGGACCCTCTCCCCGGCTGGCCCCTCAGACGGAAAGGAAGGCCCTCTGTCTTGGATCTCCATCCCCCAATGCCACCCAGCCGTGAGGAACCTCAGGACAAACACCCTTCCTTCCCCAGGAAACCATCCGTGATGGCTTATGTGGAGGCTGACCTGCCGTCGCTAAATTTCAGAACAGTTGTCCTGGCCTCTTAACTCGGTTGCCTTATTTCCGAGACGAGTAAGTTAACTTCCCCGGTAGCCCTCAGGGTCTGCCTCGGTAGAGTGGAGTCGGTGTTTGCTCACAGGGCTTCGGTGTGGCTGAGGCCCTCGGCACAGAGCTGCCATGTGGGAGAGCTGGCAGCCAGGAGGCTGGCGAGGCAGATGCCACTGCTCCTAGGAGTCCTCCCAACAACTTGCCTAGGACAGTGGTCGGCAAACTGCGGCTCGGCAAACCGCGCCTCGCGAGCCACATGCAGCTCTTTGGCCCCTTGAGTGTGGCTCTTCCACAAAATACCGGCTTCTGCGCATGGGCCACGAAGTTTCAGTCACACTGTACGTGCGCACCCGCACGTGGTATTTTGTGGAAGAGCCACACTCAAGGGGCCAAAGAGCTGCATGTGGCTCGCGAGCCGCGGTTTGCCAACCACGGGTCTAGGGTGTCGCTGCCTGTGGGTGTGTGGGGACCAGCCCGCAGTCCAGCCAGTGCAGATGGTGAGCAGCAAGCCAGGGCACCAGCCAGCTCTCAGAGTGCCGGGTGGCGCCCTGTGCTTGTCTGGTTTTCCCGGGCTGCTTGGGTCCCTGAGAACAGAAACACGAGTGCGCACCCGCTCCCAGCTTTGGCGAGCTTCATGCTCCTTGAAAACAAAACATTTTACTTCTCTAGGCTGCGAGCATTTTATCAAAAACTCCAGTTCCCCCCAAAATGTCTGGGCACAGCGCGGAAGAGCTGGTGTGTGCCTTGTTTCTTTTTAGGAGATGTGCGTCCTCTGGGAACGGGGA